ATATATATATATATATATATATATATATATATATATATATATATATATATATATATAATTTGTCATTTATTGTTTACATTTACTGCCATACAAGTTTTTTTTAATTAGCTAGAACTGAAGAGTCTTTGAAAAATGTCCAGGCGAAAATTAGGAGAAAGGCAGAAGCTTATAGTCTCTTCAACTTCCTGAACACGACGCCGAAAACGACAGCGGTCGCGAGCAATTTCTTCCCAGGGTCCATGACGGTCCTCGTCGCTGCTGGCATAGAACTCCTCCACCTCCTCTACAAATGTCACCTGTGAAAGAAATATTAAAAGAAATCTGAGTCAAGTTTCCTTTCATAATGTTAAACAAATTTTCTTGTATCTTTTTATATTTTCACGTAAAGACCGTTACATTAAAACCTTCCATTCTTGAAAGCAAAGACTGCCAGGAGCCAATCAACTAAAAAATAAAATAAACTGAAAATGGCCCTGTAAATATGGAAATCTAAATATACTGTAAACCATGACAGCCTACTGTAGCGCATTCTACCACTTCTTGGTTCTCTTTGATTTGTCCATACCGAAAAAACTTAATGATTTGCATTTAAAGTCTGCATTTTAAAATTGGAATTTAAGACTAAACCTTAAGATACAAAATAAAAAAACTACATGTATTACTGCACTTACCAAGAATTCAAAAAACAATGTGTCCTGGGCTAAACATGTTTTTATCATGTCTAAAAGAGTTTTCAAATTGAGACATTCACATTGACATATTGTCGCATATATTGTGTCACATTCAGGGTTTCTGCAGGTTTTACCAGGTTATATTTAGGACTTTTTAATACATTTTTAAGACCATTATGAAGGAAATTTTAAACTTGGGGTTCTTTCACACCTAGACTTTTGTTTTGGAACCTGGCACTAGGGTTGTAACAATATACCGGTATGACGGTTTACCACGATTTGAACGTGCACGATTATCATACCATGAACAATTGCATATCAACGGTTTTAACCCTTAAAGACCGATACAGCCGCCCGCGGCTAAAAATAAGTATTGCTCTTAAATGTTTAATAACTTTTGATCCGCTGATCCGATTCATACAATTCAAAGATTGGCATAAAGAAGAGAATCTCAGCTTTCCAGTGCTGTATCACATAACATTCGCCGACTTTCAGAGGCTCCGGAATCAGTGCGGTTACGTCATCAAAATTTGACAACGCTGATTTGACAAAGAAACGCTCGTCACTGTGTCTCCGGACAAATCAGACATGATACATTGATGCATTATCCCTCCTCCATGCCCAGATTGGTTCAAACTCGCTATATCACAACCAATAAGCATAGGTTTCGCTTTTGTTTGTGGACCAAGCTTTTTGAACAACACGGAATGAGAGATAGGCATACATTTATGCGCGGCTAAATAAAACGCAAAAAAAAAAGTTTTGCATGAAATAATTCTCTTACTAAGTACTTTTGCATGCACAGCAGCACAGAAACATGACAAAACAGTGACACAGCAAAGACGAACTGCTGCTCTTGCTGTTTTCAAAAGACACAAATGAAGATGCAGCTGTTTGTCTGCATTGCAGACAACCACATCCAAATCCATATCGATAGACAACCATATCCATGCTGGCACATAAAACCTAAGGATGTTCCATATTGAATCTAGTTTCGTTATGTAACTATTTATAGTATAGTAAATATTTATATCTATTTTTTACTGAGGATTTGCACCATGTTTATTTGGACTTTATTTGGACTTTGACACATTATTTATTATTTTCTTATTTTTATTTGTTCATTGTAAGTGGTGTTGTTTATAGTAACTAAAAATATATTATTTGGAAAAAGTCAAATTTGCTTCACTGTTCTATTATTTTGTAACATTTGTAACATACCGTATACCGCGAAACCGTCAAACCGTGGTATTGTTTTAGACGATTATCATACCGTGAAAAATTCATACCGTTACAACCCTACCTGGCACATTTCCCCAGTTAGTATGTTTGTTAGTTTGTTCGGCATATGTGAATCCAGCATTCGCGCTTGGATGCACGCCAAATCAATCAGTCCGAGATCACCTGAATGAGGTGGTCTCAGCTCGATTGAAATGAACTCTGGAGCAGATCAATTGTAGTGAGAAAACAATACAATCCGCACACAGCTATATCACAGTGTATTATGAATATGTAATAGGCATATACGAATATATGAAGAGAGAATTATGAGTAGGCCGGGAAGTCATTCCTACTGGTAAATGTGCGTTTCAGGTCACAAAAGTGAAAGGCTGCAGAACTATTAATGAGAGCTGTTAATCATTTAGGAAAATTGACCGAACGTTTATCTATTATTTCTCTTTTAGCCTGCAATGCATAATTCTAGCTTCTGATTTTTAACCTCTGATTTTTTTTTTTTTTTGATGACGATGTCTGTGGGTGTCACAATTCAAAACTAAAGTGCAGCTTTTCACCAATAATGTCTTATTGCTCATCGTCATAAATTAAGGACACATGACAGCTGAGCGGGACTCTGAAAAATAAAGCGTGGAACTCTGACCAATGTGAGGAATGTTTACTCACACATGACTTGTTTTAGGGTTGGGTTGCTATACATGAACAAAGGAAAATAAGACCCAATAATAAACTATATGTCAGTAGATTTAAGACTTTTCAAAGCCTAAAATTTAGCATTTTGAGATTTAAGACATTTTAAGAGTTTAAGACCCCGCGGATACCCTGACATTTCAGTGGAATTGTACGAATTCATTTGGAAGTGGACAAAGGATCATTCAACTTGTTCAGTGAGATCAACTACATGGGAATGTTTCAATCTAATCTAATCTTCCGAATGTGAAGACACTGTTGTTTTTGCTTCACAATGGATTGAAATGGAAATTTATTTTAAACTCACTCATTCACTGTTGCTAAGAAACATGTAATTCCTTTTAAACCGTTGATTTGAAATGTGTGCGAGTACGTGATTAAAGCATCTGAGTGTTTGAGAGTAGCATCACCTCAAGACCAAAGCTAATGACTCGGACTACTGTGATGCCAGAGTCATGAAATGCAGCTCGCTATAAAGTGATAATGAGTAATGGGCAGAGCACGAACTCAGTCTCCCTGGAGACAGCGAAATGGAACCATTGCATCAGATCACAGACGAGCAGGGGAAAAAAACTAAAAAATTATATTGCACAGCTTTACATCATTTTCTCAGGCTGCCCTATACTGCCATATTTTCAGAGAATGGATTTAAGGCACAAAGACAGAACTGAAGAGGATTAACTGTTGCTATCATGCACTGTATAGGAAACAAAAGATGATTATGATGCATGTAATATCCTATTGTTGGTCTGAGGTGGAATGCCATCAACCATTGTCTGAAAACAAGTGGAAGGCACAAAACATTCTGTATATTTTTACTGTTATTATTTTATTATTGTTTAACTGTTGTTCGCTTTCTTGGCAACAGTTTAAGGTTCAAATCATATTAGTTAATGCATTAGGTGTCAACAAAAGCAGCAATGAGCAACATTTCTACAACATAGTATAATAAACTACAACTTTTTTAATAAAAATAAATGTTAATGTATTGATGTAATGATCTTCTTTTTAAAACACACTAAATAGAAATGTTAAAAATAAATTGTTTAATTTGCATTACCACAGTAAAATTTGGTGTCTATAAAAATATTTAAGCAATGACTTTAAAAGCACAGTGAAATGTGACTAGGCATGGGATGAGAACCGTTTTCAAGGTATACTGCGGTTGAAAAAAAGTCAAGGTTTTAAAACCGCCAAAATTTTGTTGTACTGTTCCTTCAATATGTGTAAGATTTTTTTTATTGTTTTTTAGGAGTCAATGATACAGTTGAATTATTTAGCCTTACATGTTTGCTGTAAATGTTTCTCAAAATACAATATTTTGTGTTCAATGGGGAAAAAACGTTTTTGTTTTCTATCCAGACATTTAAAAGAACATATTGTAGAGGAGCCATCACAACACCGTCAAACCGCAATATTTTTATCTAAGGTTAGCATACCGTCAGAATCTTATACCCGCCACGCCTAAATATGATAGTATAAAATTGTACAATTTAACTATTTTTCTATTTTTAGCATATTTTTAAAATGTATTGTACTTGAGAATTAAAAATGTTCATTTTCAACTTCCTTCTTCAGTGTCACATTATCCTTCCAAAACAATTGCTGTTTTGATTTGCTGCTCAAAATGTAAATTTTTTTAAGTTAGAAACAGGTTTTTTGAAGGTTTCATCAAGTCACAATTAAGACTTTTTAAGACCTATATAAGACCATTATGTATAAAATTTTAGACTTATGTGATTGTAACGTGATTGTTTTTATTTTTTCTGATTAAGAAATTTAATTTGGGTAATTTTCTGTAAAAAAAAATATATATATAACAGCTGTTGTAAATTGTATCTCTTTGCACTAAAAAAAATGAAACAGAGAAAAAATAAGGTTTTATTTGGATGTATTGTTGGTGATTAGATGGATGTCCACCCAATCGAGTAGCATTACTTGAACAAAACAAAATTAACACACATTAATAATAATAATTTAATTACTAATTTAATCAATTACATACAACATAATATTTCAGTGAATTTAAGGCCTAAAATATAGTTTTTGAAATTTAGGACATTTTAAGAGTTTTTAGAACCCAGGCGGACACCCAGTAAAAAGCTGTGTGTGCACTTTACATGTTTATCAGACCAATATGTTTAATCAGTGCAAAACTGATATTTTCCAATTCTATAATTTTATTGATTTGCTCTTGCTGAATATAAGTAATTATTTAAAAAAATATATTAAATATCTTATGTGTCCCCAAAAACCTATACAGTGATGCATATTAAAACATGAACCCAATTATGACATATTGAATAAACATTAACTACTGTCCACTAATTGCACCTTATTAAAAGATAGCACTTTCTTTTACCCAACGGTTTTAGCCACGTTTACCACCACTGCACAAACTATAATTTCCTCCAGGTGATCAATAAAATCTTATCTTATCTAAAAGAACTATATTACATATTAAAAAAGGAGCATGCTGACTGTTTAAAATAGCCCAATACTTTAATATTAACTTCCAGGACTTGAAGCATATACTTGAAACGTTGTGTTGAACTTAAGTGGACTGCATACAAAACTGAAACCAAGAATGATTCAAAGGAGGACTAACAAGTCTCCATCTGACTCATTCTTATATTCCAGACATAAACAGATGTTCTCAATGCAACCACACTATGTCTCACTTTAGAAGTGTTCAGAAAGATAATTATATACACAGATTTGAACTGGAATGCAACAATGCATTAAATATGGTCATAATTATACAAACCTTCTTCAAGTGAATGGCTGTGGCACTGCTTGAGCATGGCACAGGGGAAATCTCTGAGAATCCACTGTCCAGCCTCTCCTCAGCCTCCTCTCTCTTATAGCGTGGCGTTCCAGGCGCTTTCTCCTTACGGCACCCTTTGGGGGGTTTCTTAGTCTGTACGGGGGCCTGGAAGTTGAGGAGGCTGTACGGGTCTGCTGAGCAGCTAAAAGAGTTCCATAATCTCCGGTTCTCTTCCTCGTCCATCTCGCAGACGTCTTCGCTGGACTCATTCTCTGAAAGTGAGGGTGATGATGACGAAGGCGAAGATGGCTGGGAGGACATATGAGCTGGTGGAGACTCTGAGACCGGCGAGTCTGTAGTCGCAGGGCTTGGCTTGGTGGCTGTCCTTATAGGAGCTGTGAAGTTCCTTGGATTATAAGGATCCCCGTTTTGGCACAGAGAATTCCACAGTCTCTCAGCCTCAGAGTTGCCTTCCTCTCCATCTGAATCTTCCTCGGATTCATCGTCGCTGTCATCAAGGTCCTCCGAATCGGAGTAGTGGGATGAGCCTTCACTATCAAAGCCATCATCATCATCATTACTATCCCAGTCATCATCATCATCTCATCATCATCATCATCATCCTCCTCCGATTCAGATTCGCCACTGCAAGGGCTACCCATGATGTAAGCGATGACCTTGTTTTCACACTGAGGCGTGGCTAAAAGGGATACATTATCAGCAGCGGCTTCTACAGTCTTCTCACACTCCTTTTCCTCTCCTCCCTTAATTTCTTCCTCACTTAAGATAGGTAGGCTTTGTAGCTCACTTCCTGTAGTGTTACTCTGAGATGAGTCGTCTTCGGAGGCAACAGCGTTGGTTGTGTCCGACACCTCCTGTTCCTTGGAAAGCAGTTTCATATGAAGCTTACTATTCGAGTGTTCTTCCTCCAAGCTGGAGTAGCCATTATCTTGGTCAGGTGTCAAAACAGCCACTTCACTGTAGGCTCTTCCACAAACCAGCACCTGCTGCTCAACATCTAGTGGAAGCTGGTATGAGTTTGAGAGCAATTCTGTTTTGGACATGTGCAGCAGTGCATTGTGGGTCAGCTCTTTGGAGCACAAGGGTCTAGCGCTTTCGTTGTGCATTGATGGCCCATCATTGCTTTGACAATAGCCAACACTGTGATGTTCTCCACAATGCTGCCAGCTCGTATCAGTCTCTTTTCTGCTTTGTGCTACATTTAGCAGCAAGTTTGGAGGTCTGTCATTGGCCTCCAAAAATCCTCCCTGCCACCAGCTATTAGTGGATCGCACAGACACCATATCCGGGCACAAATCGCAAGCGCTTTCAGGTTTTGCACGCTTTTTTTCCTGGGTTTTCAATAACACCTGGCTCAGCATGTTTCTTGCTGTTCCCAAGTATCCGACTGATGCCTGCTTTTGAAGGCTGAAATCTTTCTGGGATGTGTTTTGAATTCCCAGTTCACTTAGTGATTCCTGTGTGAACCAGGCAAGAGTGCCAGGGTCTCCAGGGGCCACGCATGCAGCATTTTCATGCTGGCAGTGGAGGTATGCGACGTTCAGAGGCGTTAAAGAGTTTCCGATATCAAGGTGTGACTTCATTTCAAATGCAGTCTGTGTCTTTCCGGGGAAATACCTCTGCAGGAGAGACCACGCAGGCCTCGAGACCAGAGAGAACACGCTTATCCACGAGCTGTCAGTGCGCTCGTCACCGTCACGCGCGGACCGCGTGTCCCCTGGAATAAAGTGTCCATGTGTGCTCATACTTCTGAAAAATATGAAATGAGGTGAACTACATAAACTGAAAGAAAATAAAACAAATTATATAATTCTTCTACAATTGGCTCCACGTTGTTCAGACTGAATTTGAATAAAAGTGCTCGGGTTTATAATGTCAAGCTTAAATGTCTCTCAATGTTACTAATATACATAACAGCCTTAACACAACCTAACGTTAAATATGGCCTTATAAGGCTTAACGTTAGCTGGCTAGCGCAGCTTTTAATGTGGGGCTAAATGTTAGCTACGAACAAAGTAAAACGCTGCGTTTCTCATTCCTTCCAGCCTCTAACACCATCCATGAGGGCTGATAAATATTCTCCGGGGTTAATGAAGTAGTCCATGTCGTTTAGACTGTTTGGAGACCGGCCCGGCTCGCGCGAACAGCTTCAGCGTCCATATTGACCGCAGCGTTGCCGCCAACTGTGCCGTCCTGAGGAGAATAACACCAATTATTTCGGGTTGAAGGGATCGTGGAAACAGCAGAAGGAATTGACAAGCGTTTTGAAGTGTTGTAAGAGTAAAATAGGCTGGTAAACTCCAAAGGAAAGCTTGAAACAAAAGCCATTTTGACGTCTTAGAGGAAGCGAGCGTCGGTTCTTCAACTGTCAGTCTTCTGTCACCTCAATCGAGCCGCGTTTTCGGACGAAAATACTGTACGCTGTTGGAGAAAAAACGGCTGAATCATCAATATCGAGCCAAAGCGATCTCCTTAAAGTTACGACAAAAACCGAATCACTTTAAATTCGTTTTAAACAGAAATACTTGGTATAGAGACTCGTTGACGTCGCCGTCTCGCTCGCTAGCCGCGGAGCTAAAGCGGAGAGATTTCATCAGAAAAGCCGTAAGGGAGCGTCTCTAAAGTGCTGCAGCACCGCGTTTACTAGGGGCCGTGGTAAAAGTTCTATCTCACGTTGTACTCTGAAACGTGTGTGTTATATAAGATGTTCAGAACATGTCACGCAATGCTTAGGCAATACATATTGAAATCCCTCAAGACATTCTAAATCTTTAATACTTTCTTCTAGTCGTTTTTACTTATCTTGTCAGAGTTTCTCCAGGGAGACTTTCAGCACAAATCTTATCTGATGTATCAATTTTTGCTTTGGTGCAAAGACTTTTTTGTAGAAACTGCCTGCAGAATCCCTCAAGCACAGAACTAATGCTTCATGAAGAATTGACCGTGCACACTGTATGAAAATATATACTTTGTTCTTTCTCTTATGATTTTCAGTGAATATCAATACACGCAGAAGCTGTTCATTTAGCACAAAGGCAGGAGCACTTTCAGGGCGAACTCACACTAAGTGGGAGAAAAATATACAATCTGTAAAATAAATGAACTAGCCTTATCATCGTTGTCTAAGATTAATGATTAATTATCACTTTATGAATATAAAAAGTTAAACGGTTTTGAGTTTAAAAAGTACAGTGGATGAGAGAGCTTAACGTGCTGCAATTTAAGAAAACACATGCAACTACAAAAAAGCATCAGCAAATTAAAACAAGATCTTCATCCGTTTGATAGCACACGTGCTGCAAAACTTCTCAATACACACACATAAAAAAGCACTGCATTTTCCCACAACGCAAACAAATTACGAAAACACGCTACAATTTCTCACAACACAAAAAACATTGGAACACAACGAAAATATATCAAGGGAACCCAATAACCTGATGGATTGTGAACTGCATTGTGATCAAATGCAGTGCGTTATTGCAAATTGGTTGCATTGTGAGAAAATGCAGCGCATATAATTAATTATTTGTGTTGTGTAAAATTTGCAGCGCGTTTTATTAAATGTTTACGTTATGAGAAAATGCAGCGCGTCATTGTAAATTGTTTGCATTGTAAGAAAATGCAGCATGTTATGGTAAATTGTTTGCATTGTGAGAAAATGCAGCGCATTTTATTAATTGTTTGGGTTGTGTGAAAATGCTGCGATTTTTATTAGATGTTTACATTGTAAGAAAATGCAGCGCATCATCGTAACTTGTTTGCATTGTAAAAAAATGCAGTGCGTTTTATTAATTGTTTGCATTGTAAGAAAATGCCGCACGTTATCATAAATTGTTTGTGTTGTGAGAAAATGCAGTTTTATTAACTGTTTGCATTGAGAAAATGCAGCGCGTCATCATAAATTGTTTGCATTGTAAGAAAATGCAGCGCGCTTTATGAATTGTTTGCGTTGTGAGAAAATGCTGTGCATTTTTAATCCATGTATGCATTATGAGGACGTGTGCTGTCAAACTAATGAAGATTCTTTTCTCAATCTGCTGCCGTTTTTTTGTAATTGCACGTGTTTTCTTAAATTGCAGCCTATTAAGCTCTCTCATCCACCGTGAAAAAGCCATCATTTATATAATGTCAAAGTGGTAGATCACCTCAGATAACTTTCTGAGCAGTATTTAAGATTGGATAGATGGAAAAGGATGAAAAGGTCAAATACATGCTAAGTGGCAGCTACATTATACAACCAAATATTTAATCTAAAACAAATTAGGCTGTAAGGATTATTACATTGACAAATATGCTAAAAAATACTTTATAAAAATGTAAATAGACAATTATGCTCAAAATCAACTGAGTTGTACAGACTTGTGTATTCTTTCATTATAACTAAGAGATTCAATGTGCACTGTAGACAGCTTTGATAAATATAAAACTTTGTGAGATTGTTTTCATCTTGAGTTCTAAAGCATATGTGTTGCCTATTGTCTTTTTAAACAATTCACTAGTGAACCTCACTCACACAAATGTACACAACAACCAACCAGATAACAAACGAAAACACAAAACAGAAGAAATATCCAACTGCGGTCTAGTTTATTTGTTTGCATTTTACTCACTTTAGATGCAGACTTTATATTATTTGCCATGAGAGCAGAATTTGATTCCCAGGTTGTCCTAATTTAACTTGCTTTCGGCGCAATGTTTTAATTTGATAGATGAACGTGGAGGAATGAGACATTTATGTCATCAGAACTCTCTGGAGGAGCTTCAGGACAATGAGAAATGTGTAAGACCATAGATGGTTCAGACAGGCAATTAAAGCCTTTATGATAAACCCCAGTCTGATGTAATTCTTACCTCAGTGTGATGACAGCCCAATATGGGATAAAGTCAGCGATGTCTCAGTAAAGTGGATTGTTGCGGTCAGTCATGCGTAATTGAGATTTACAAATAAATCCAACCAAGGATTTAGTGCATGCAATGCTCATGTTTGTATTTTGCATTTGACATTGATCGTTGGACCATTTCTTTAGCGCTTTATGTGATCCAACAATGACAAAAATAAAAAAACATTTACAATGTTCAAGCCAGTTTCTCTGTGCATTTATTAAGTGCAAATAAACATTAAAAACATGATCTGAAATTAGAAGGAACAGTCTAGAAAGGAATACAATGGGATAAAGCCCATTTACAATCCATACATCACATCAAATTCATTTTCTCAGCATTTACAGTATGCCAACCCTACTGATCTTACTCGCATTCTCTTTAGTTATTAAAATAAGCATCACAGATGTTATAAAAGTTCTATACCTTTAAATCCAAACTCTTCACATTCACAACAAAAAAGATAGCTTTTTTAATAAATGTTCAGTTTTTCATTATGGGTTGGCATGGAAATCATATACAATCATTTCCCTTAAGGGTTAACTTCAAACAGTTGTGCCATTTGGGAGGAAAATAACCATTCGTCATTTGAAAGAAACTTCAATCCTTTAGAAAAATGTCCTTTATATTGGAAATGGAGCTGGTTTTTCTGGTTAGAAAAAGCTACGGAACAGGGACTACTCTGACCTGGATAATCTTACCTAAGTTTGCTTAAGGCTACTGGATTGTTAGAGCACTTCGACAAACAGGGTTGCACTTTGGACTTGAAGATCCTTCATTTTAAGATATTAATTCATGATAATAATCAAGAATGAAAAGGTACTGTTGTGATACATTTCTAATAAAGCCTTTGAATTCCGTTTATTCCGAAATCCGAATTGAATTTGTTTTAATTTTTACACAATAAACAATATCATTCCTCATTTAAATGGGCAAATTTTATGACCGTCTGATCAAATATGAATTTAAGAATATTTCCAATTAGTTCCTTTTTTCTTCAAGCCTATGAGGTGAGCTAAGTGCAAAGTAAAGCAAACTGCAATGCAAAATCTATAAGCATAAATTTCCAAGAGGGGGAGGGAGCTACTGTGGCATATTCAGCATTTCATTTACATGCAGTTTTACATAAAAAGGAAGAATGGAAATACTTACAAAACTACAGCCTAAAGCTTTAATTTCACTCTCCCTTTGAAAAACAAAATACAAATAAATTAACCAATAAAACTTGGAAAGATGTGAGGTCAATGTAATTGACAAACAAATGCAAAAAATGCAATATTTATCCCAGTAGCAAATTTCACAGCATGCAAATCAACTATTTTCAAATAGAAATGTCCTTGTAGGTTATGCTTACATATTAACAAGGCATAAAAGCACTGACCCTGAAATCAAGTTCCTTCAAAAGCCTTTTTTGCATACAAAGTAGTGTGCCATCATTTAAGAACGAAGGAGGTTTATGAAACTCCTCTGTTTTTTTCTCTGTTGTTCAATATACAGCACATGCAAATCATAATTTAGTTTTTGATGCACCCACCTATTTTTACATGATCAAAAAAAATCTACATTCAGTTCTGTTTGTGTCATTTCCACTGCTGAATCAAATGATCAAGTGTTCATCCCTTTTCAAGATCAAGTACATGTGAAATTACCCAACTTTACAGTACAAAAAGCGGCCCTCACTATTAATTTCTATGTAAATCTCTGCAAAATCTGATACAAAGAGACATAACTAATGTCACAAGACACAACATAGCTCAAAATTGAGCCGCAATAGGGAAACATCTTAAAAAGAAAATAACTTAAATTTCCATGAACAGTCTCAAGATAACAAAAATGGGGCTTTAAGGTTTCATGGACAGGAATTTTGCAGAACCTCCCCCCAAAAAATATGGCATATGGAAGTTCTTAAATAGTTTTTTTCTGCCAATCCTTGTGCCACCAAATGGTTTTTGTCCCATAGTGTTACCAAGAACCGCTTTCTTTAATTCAAGGTCTGGCTCACATGGTGCACGGTACCCCACCAGAAAAGTTATCAAGTGATGACCCTTCATCACCAAATCTACACGTCTCCTGGGAAGGAGATTCAACAAACACAAACCCCCACTGGGGGAAACAGCCTTCTAAGCAGCTGGGCATCTCCAACTCCCTACCCATAAGCAAAGACAGACACAAACACATGCACAGTGAAAGACAACGGTGAAATCCTTCACTTCCGCTGGGAATCAGCAAATGCTAGCGGTTTGTGTCGGAGCCTCTGGTGCCAAGCTGATGCCAGTCCACCCAACGATGGCCAGGGGTCAGGTCTTTCAAATGAATGATGGTTTCACCCAGAAGCGTGTTCTCCCAGAATGCACCCTCACTCAGTACCCGCAGGTGAACGGTTCTCTGCTGTAAATCGCCACGTGGTATTTTATCATACACCAACTGTGAAAAGAGAGAAAAAGTAGTCAGGAAAACTGGAGAAAAAAAAACAGCTGAGTATTTTTATAGTAGTCTTGATTACACAAATATTGCTCCAATAAAAAGTATTGTTTTACAAGTCATAAGAGTATTGCAAACCGTCATTTGAACCATAAGGATTTGAAAATAAAATGTACAACACCTTTAACCAAAGTCCTATACTCTTTTCTATAACTGAGGTAAGACATACAATCATATGGAGTGCTGTAAATGCCATGAATTCAAAACCATGTATGAATATAAAACTACTGACTGAAATCTTTTACTGTTTTGTTTTTTATGTTCACTTTAAGACATGAAAAAAAAAAAAAGAAAAGCTTTACTTTGAATGCCAGGCCAGTAGGTGGCGATGTCAATTTGATCACTATACATCTTCACAAAAATCATTGTTCAGTTGTACACAGATACAAGTATGGACTATATGGTGAATTTATGTATAACTCATTCGTTTCGTCTATATTAAGTTATATTAGGTCTGCATAATTAAGGGCGTGGCCACTTGAGTGAGAGCTAGGTCTCGCTGGTCGCCGCCATGTCAACTGAGCTGATTCCAGATGATGAGCCGCTGAGCTCGGCATATACATTGTATTTGTGTCGTTTTATGTGGCTTTACACTCTACACAACTGCCTTTTGGAAATATTTTTTACAATTATCAGATAATATGGCATATTGTGTGCACTTTATTGTGCTCTCAAAACATTCAAGTGGCCTCCATTTCACAAGTGAGTGAAATAGTTTACTTATATACCAGCTCTATAAATGTATTTGTTTTACTTAAGATCATTTATCACTTGAAATTTTCTTTAGAACTGTAATACACTCCTTAGTTTATTTCTTTCTGTAATGTAAAGCCTATAATGCATGAGCCAACTGCTATGTATGAGAAAGTTTTACCTCTGATTTATATTTGGTGACGACGTCTGTGGGTGTCACCACTCAAAATTAAAGCGCAGCTTTTGGCTTATGATATCTTATTACTCACCTCCATAAATTAAAATAAGGATGTATGACAGCTGAGTGGGACTCTAAAATATACACTGAAACTCTGACCAATGTGAGGAAATTTTACTCGTACGTGACTTGTTTTAGCTATTGTGGTCCATTTAGAAACTTTGCCATGTGTAAGCGAACCACACCAAGAACAAAGAGCAACAATATAGCAATTTTAATCCCTGTTTCGAAACAAAAAAAGAAAGAAATAATCGATTCACAGGTGTAAAAGCACCCTAAAATTCTGTGTGCATATACCATTTTTGATATAGACCTATAGACTGTTTTCACAAAAAAATATTGTTTTTGCATTTCCCAGCAAACAGTATGTGTGTAATATTTGGTTTTTAAATAAAAAAAGTCTTAAAATGTAAAGTACTTACAAAAAAAAAAACATCCTATAATGTAAATAATTTGTCATTTAATAAGAGTATGTCAATAACTCAATTTTGATAAAAATGTCAGATAGAAATATAGATAATTCTACGGTGACGATATTTTTATAATTTGCATTGAGACAATGACAATGATTTTAAGAAACATTATGCTTTGTGACTGAATTTCCAAAAGTTAGCGTATTCGCTAAAACTCTCCATCATGTAAATGAATTGGCAAAATTTAGGTAAAATAAAAATAAATAAAAGTAGTATGTTTTTATATGTTTATTCTGAAAATACCCTCTGGTATTAAACCAAAAACTTTCAAAATATCTACATACATAAATACTTCAATAGTTGGGAACATACAGTACAGTAGCAGGACTGACAGAGATGCCATTTAAAGTGGTTTGTAAAACTGGTTTGTGCACCAAGTATTATTTTAGCAGGATCTGCTTTTCACGGTTTCCTGATTGGCGAGACTTTGTTGCAGAATTATGTCGTTTACCCACCAGAAACCTGCTGTAAAACATTTTCAAATACCAAACATAGTTTCAACAAAACCATATACCACTAACTTACACCTAAGCAGACCTAATGAACAGTACTGCTAAAGTGTTTATTTGTGATACAAAAAAAAAAAGAAATCCCTTATGGATGTCATGTAATGACGCAGTTTTCTCACCATCTCATTGTAAGTGGGGTTGCATGTTCGTCTGGCTGCTTTTGTCTTCCTTTTGCTGGTTTTCTGAGGGTCTGGTAGGAGGTACAGTTTGACATATGGATCAGGATCTGTTCCATCCTGCAAAGGTTGCTAGAGGAGGATCCATACCACACTGGTGAGCATCAACTCAACATTTCTTCTACACGTGCACTTACTTTTACATATATACTGTGAGTAATACCAGACACTCACCAAGCCTCTAATGTGCATGACCATAATGAAAAGCTTGTCACTCTTGTAGAGAACCGACAGTTTCACTTCACCTGCCATTGCACCAGGCACAGGAGCCCAGGACACATCTGGAGGAAAAGAAAAGCTGGATTTAGTGTGGTCAGACAGGTGTGTGTTTGGTTTACAATGCACATTAAAGGTGGATTAAGTAAATAAAGTAATTGGATTTCCAGTGTTCAGACTGACAAGGCTGGAACTTGTTGAACAGTGACCTTTATCACACATCAGATAGGGTGACCCGGCAGGCGCAACGGCTGCCACACTGGAGCTTTTACTCACAATGACTCTTTTAATATTTAACCCACAGTGATAAATTGTCAACTATTGAAGCATTTACACGTGTTTTTCAAATATCCATATAAACTGATTTTATTACAAGGGACTAAAAACCACCTTCCTAAAAGAGTTTCATATATGCACCCGGTTATATTGTGGTTATACTGTGTGAGAAAACAGCTTATATTATTAACACAACTTGCTGTTTGCAAGGGTAAAACTCAACTTTTTTATTGTTATTGTGAACTAATCAATTAAAAAGCTATGTGGAAAAAAAAGATTTACATAACATTACTGTTGATATTGTATAAAACTAGGGCTGTCAAAAAATCGAAGACATCAGTTAAATCAAACAAATTTTCACCAGATCATTTAAAACAAACAAAATTTGACTACTTTATACACTATTTTGCTTTGACCCCAGTTCTGGAGCAAGGCTATTATAGTTAAAGCAAACAAACAAAAAACATTTTCGTTAACTAAAATTAAAATAAAAACGAGAGTACTTAAAAAAAAAAAAAAAAAAAAAAAAAACTAGAACTGAAACTGTATTGTGTACATACAAAATTAACTGAAACTAACTAAAATTAGAGCAAATACATCCTTTGTTTTCATTTTTGTAAATGTATTTAATACATAAGCCTAATGTATGCCTTTTAGAAGTAAATCTATTAACTTTGCTCTGCCAGGTGTTTGACCCTTATAGCACCTCAAAATCTGTAATCTTGATGCGATTGGCCAGATCAAGCCGGTTCTTCTCCAGTCATCTTCACTATTGCTCCGCGACAAAAACAACGAGTGGGCATAACAGCAGCATGGTGACAGCATTAAATACAGAGACTTAAAATGATTAATTTAACACATTTATGCCCAATAACAGGGTTATTTCTGTATTAGTGATTGCGATCAAATCGTGATCAAATCACGATAATACTGCGCATGCGTGATTGAGTGAACCGAACACAAACAGTACATGACAGCCTGTTGTGACTGAACTAAACTTGAACAACTGAAGCGCGGGTAAACTAAGGCCTTAAATTTGAAAATTTGGCAAAAAAAACATGTTTATTTCATAACAGAAAGACATAATGGACTTTAAGTGAATCATGTTTCAGTTGGGTTGCAAAACGTGATTGGTGAGAAACCTTTTAGATCATGGTGATCATGACATTTTGATTACTGACCACATATTTTTGGTATGTTGAGTCCTAACATGGGAGGATTGTCACTATAGATTCATTTCACGATTAAGATCCAAACTTCCCATCACTACTGTGTATTTAACCTCAGAAGCAGCCTTGCACACATATTGTACTTAGGGCTGCTATCTTGTGGGCTGTTGTTTTTTAATTTGAGGATGGGTTTATGGTAGTGTTCATGTGTCCTCTGAATAAATGTTTCAAAATACAGTTGAAGTCAGAATTATTAGCCCCCCTGTATTATTAGCGCCCCTGTTTATTTTTTCCCCCAATTTCTGTTCAATGGAGGGAAGATTTTTTTCAGCACATTTATAAGCATAATAGTTTTAAAAATGTATTTCTAATAACCGATTTAATTTATCTTTGCCATGATGACAGTAAATAATATTTTACTAGATATTTTTCAAGACACTTCTATACAGCTTAAAGTGACATTTAAAGGCTTAACTAGGTTAATTAGGTTAACTAGGCAGGTTAGGGTAATTAGGCAAGTTATTGTATAACAATGGTTTGTTCGGTACACTATCGAAAAAAAATTAGCTTAAAGAGGCTAATAATTTTGTCCCAAAAAATGGCTTTAAAAAAATTTAAAACTGCTTTTATTCTTGCCGAAATAAAACAAATAAGACTTTCTCCAGAAGAAAAAATATTATCAGACATACTGTGAAAATTTACTTACTCCGTTAAAAATTATTTGGGAAATATTTAAAAAAGGGGAAAAAAATCAAAAGGGGGCTAATAATTCTGACTTCCAACTGTATGTATCTTTGGTTGTACAATATTTATTCTGATGATCTTGCACCTAACAAATATCCTTATAAAAAAAAACAAATACTGAAACTAATAAAAACTAAACTAAAACGAAGCTATTTCAAAATATAACAACTAATAACAACTAGTAAATCTACCTTTAAAAAACTAATCAAAACTAACTGAATTTAAAAACAAAAATTAAAAATGAAATAAAACGTAAAACTATAGAAAAGTCCAAAACTATTATAACCTTGTTCTGAAGAGATGGTCTAATCAAAAATGAAAAGTATGCTTGATTCTATTCATCAGGAATTTATTAGATTATAAAAACTGTGATCTCATGTAGCAACGCAATTAAAGAGAGGAAAAAATTTACATTTATTTTGATTAATATATTAAAGTGCAGAAAAAGTACATTTGGATTTCATTGAAGACCCCTGTGCCAACTCATGTCAGAAAGCACTGACCTAAAGTTGAGTGGTTGCAAACGCATTGCACTAGTGGTATAAGATAAGACTAATGATGACCAAGCACTGGGTGTGTCCCCTAGTCACAGCCACAGTCACATGGTCTGCAGCTGATTGGCCCAAACGTCCAATTCCTTTATACTAACTCATGGTGATTTACTGTAAATGGCAGAAAACTGCACGACCTTTGAATCTATCATATATGAATCCATAAAGTGATTCATATGATGTGTGTGTGGGTGTGTCTAACACCAAAAAGGAAAAAAACAGACCTGTTGGTTTATGTAGTGTATTGACAACATTTCCCACACTTCCTGCCCGCTCGTCTCTTGGTAGGGGGTGAAAGAAGGTGTAGATCAGGTCACACTGAAAGAGGAGAGGGTAATGTTACTGACTGAAGTTGAACTCATAAGCAGGAACTAAAATAGGCAAGTGTACAGTCAAAGCAGTACTATGGATGTCATGTGATCCTGATGCATCCTGCAAATGTACAGCACAGTACAGTACAGGAAAAGTGAAAGCGTACACGGTTTGGCAGCTGGCACTGCCACTCCTGTCTCAATACTGATATAGGCCTGTGGGTGGACTGTTGTTGAAAACGTGCGTCTGTTTTCACAGAACATGGAAAGTTTCCAGGAAGCACGTCAGTCAAATTAAACTACTAGTCTGAAACCACATTCTATTGACTATTATGCCATTCAGCTATTAAAGTATTAAGCACAATGGAAGTGTGGTTAGTGATGAATGCAAGCATGAATTTAACAAATGGCTTTCATTTTCAGTCATAAAAGTTTAAATAAATTTAAAAAATGTTATTATAAAACAACAATTGTATATATTAAAAATAAATATATATATAATTATATTTTATATTAAAAAACAAATAAAATGAGACGCATAATTTTTCAATTTTGCTAATCAGAATAAACATTTCATAAGCAAATAAACAGCTCATCAAAAATTGTGTTTCACAGGAATAACCCATAAAAATATATTAAATTGAACAGTTAGTGTAAATCTTAATATTTAGCTCAAATAAATGCCATCTTAAAAAGCACCATTCAGAAAATTTACCAACCAACTCTTTTGATTGGTATTGTATAATTCAGAATTATGAAGACCAATGATGAAAGTGGGGTCAAAGGTTACCTGTGCCACCTCTTGAGCAGCATGTATCAAATGCCAAACATATCCATTTAGCTCATCTTTCCTCCTGTCTGCCAGGGCCTCCCCTCGAGAGCGACCAATCACAAAGCGGCTGGGGAAGCTGTGGGAAAAGCCCATTGAGGGTCAGCGTGAATTACATGAAGAGAACTAAATTACACAAGGAGAACAGACAGTATAACAAAATACACCCCGAAGGATCCTGAATCTCCGCAAAGAATATTATTTTGTCAAAAACTGTCTGGCTAAACATTCCATGGCATAATACATTGATCTACTGTGAAAAAATGTTCAATGACCAGCTTTCTTTTGCTTTCATAACTTATCCTACACTGATTTCAGGCTAAATATATCCACGGATAACAGAACCCTCTATTATTTTCCACAGAAGTCATGAGTTTTTTCATCTCACTTTAGGTCAAGGTCTGTGATACGCATTCTGTGAGCACTTGTTTTTTTCCACATTTGTCAGTTTTGACACTGTACCTTGGTAGTTTTGAGGAAGGGAAGATGAGCTGCAGTTTACTATGAAGTTCATTAAACTCCTCAAATGTCCTCTGGACCAATGTTGGTGAGCCCTGCTGACCTTCCCGCTCCACTTTTACAACATAAGACTGCATGAAAGGGTGAATGTGAACATTAGAGCATGTATATTAATTATTTTAGTGCATCTGAGTAAAATTTAAATGCATAAGACTTACGTAGCCTTTGCTTGGAGAATAGGTTTTGATGTGCCTGCAAACAAACAGGCTGCGAATCACACCGTCAGTCTTCATTGTGTAGACGCGTGGTGCAAATGACAGAACAGGACGCTCTTCAGAGGACGCAAATTTCATTTGGGCAAGATTATGGATGAAGAAGTTGAGCTTAGTAGCCACACTGCCAAGACTGGACTCAATTAGCCTAGAAGAGAATTAGATTTAAGATAAAGGCCAGAAGACAAGTTGAATCGATATACAATGGCAGGAACCTATGAGCTCCTCTGTTTTCTTCCTGGTATTAAACTTTAAATTTCACAATTCAAATGAAAAATTGCAAGAAGAAAAGCAGTCTCCAAGTGTTCACCTGGTGAAGTGCATAGTGGCATCAGCTTCTGATTCATGTGGCCTCAGTGCATCATAGACATACTTCAGATCATCCACATCAGACAGCTCTGGTATTCCACTGGACAGCATCTGCACACAAACATTTGACAAGTTTAGGCCTAAAAGAAGCAATGCAATTCAAATAAGCATTCAAATAACCAAACCCTAAACAAATCATTGTTTAACATCACCACTGTGGGTACACACAACTAAAACCAAAAGTAGAAATAAATAATGAAATAAAATCTGCACACTCACCAGACCGAGCAGGTTGAGAAACAGATGTGCGTGTTTCCTGATGCGATTGTAGGCCTCACAACACAAATCTACAAAATCATGAAAACGACTGGATGGCTTGTCACCTCCATTGATGACATACGCCATGTCAGATGTAAACACAAAAGGAGCCCGGTCGCTGAAAAAAAAAAAAAAAAGTGAGATTAAAATCTGTGACAACATTTATAATCAACAGTACAGATCTGGTTCAGCCCAAAAAACATTCTTGTTCCATTTTGATTAATCTATGTGAATGTTTAAAGGGTTAGTTCACTTCAAAAATTATAATTTTGCTATTAAATATCTTCTCATGTTGTTTCAATCCCCTGAGACCTTTGTGCAACTACAGAACATAAATTAGGATATTTTAGATGAAATGAGAGAGCTCTCTGATCCTCGATAGACAGTAATGGTCTTGAGACAAGTCCAGAAAAGGAAGCAAAAATATTCTCAAAACACTCCATGTGACTTCAGTGGTTTAACTTTGTTCGCCAATGTCTTCCGTATCAGATTAGGTTAAGTGTTTACAACAGGCAATACAATGCATCCATGTTGAGCTGGTGACTCTAAAGCCGCCCTTTCACTGCATACGACAAGCGACAGACAAGCGACCAGCTGAGATGCATTCCAGTCTGGTTCAAGTTGGTCGGTGCGCGCGAGATGAGAAATGAGTTTATTCCGTTATTTATTTATTTTTTAAGTCTGTATTAAAAAATCATTTCTATTCATAAATGAGTAATAATAAATATCATTTGTAATGCTGTCTCCACATTCCCTCCAAAATTTTAGGTCTATGAGTTTCTAGTATTCATTTATTCATTCAACTATGGTGAACGCACAGAGAATAAAGGCTCTTTTTGCTTTTTATTTTGGACACACCGAGAATCAGCTTCTCTCCCATGGTGCACGACAACACTGAAAATTCTGTGCGATTGCCACAAGGGGGCATATTCTGCCAGTCATGTCCAAATGTTGTGTGCAGTGGAAAGGTGGCTTAATGGCAATACAATGTGCTGCCATAATTGTATTTACGTTTTTTTGGCCCACAAAAATGTTTTTGGAACTTTATACAATGTTTTTGCCTCCTTTTCTGGACTTTTCTTAATATCTCGCGACCATTTCTGTCAATGGCGGACAAGAAAGCTTAAGGATTTCACCTAAAATATCTTTAATTTGTGTTACGTAGATGAATGAAGGTCTCAGGGTATAAAAAAAACATGAAGGTGATTATTAATAACAGAATTTTTCCTTTTGGGTAAACTAACCCTTTTAACTCTCCTTGTTTCTGGACAAAATCTGGGTCAGAAAAGCTCTTTCAGTGCTCCTACCGTTTAATGTTGCCAAACATCTGTGCGTGCCCCAGGAACTTGCCAAAGTCAATGTGGAACATGTGTCCGCTGGTCTTCAGCATGATGTTGTCATTGTGCCGGTCACAGATGCCCAGAATGTATGTGGCCACACAACAACCAGCGCACGAATAGATGAAGTTCTCCACCGCCTGTAAAAAAGCAACAGAATTAGGTTTTAAACATATCGACACAACAAGGCCTTGAATCAACGAATCCCTAAACACATTTATATATTAAGATATGCAAAGTTAGAAACATGATGCAACCCAGCGCAACCATGCACTGGTGTATTTTTAAAGCAAAACAGTTTGCGTGTGCATTTTGGCTTAGCAAATTAGTCTTAATGCTGAATGAGGATAAGGGTATACAGTACCTTTTCATACTCCTCCTCAGTAGGGTTGTGTTTCTGCAGCCAGTCTGCCAAAGGCCGGTCCTTAAAAGAACCTGTTACTCCATGCTCAACCTGGATCTTCCTCAGGGTTTCTGCACTGGGAATCATCTCTACCATGCCTAGACAAGAGGAAAGAGGAGGCTTATTAAAATCACTTCCATTCGCTTCATTAACATTTCACATAATAGAATGTAAATATCACATTTTACACAGTTCAATCATGGGCTTTGTCTTTATAAAATTAAATTAATATTTAATAAAGTGTATGTTTTTAATGTCATGTATTTGTCTATTAAAATACTATAAATAATAAATGTACATAATATTTAAAATATTAAAATCATTTTAACTGGGAAAAACTGTAACAATTTTTCTTTTATTCTGTTTTTGTCTTCCAGTTTTAAAACCTAACTAGTGTCATGTTAACAGGGCATGCAAACTGCCTCAGTCTGTCAATATTCTTGACCCTGATTCATTAGACACTGGAAAATAAACCTTAAAAAGTCAATACAGTGAGCTCTACAGTTGTACAACATATGTATTTGTAGAAGACAAACATTGGTGATAATTTCTGACATCTTAATCTCATAAAAGAAAAGATATACATTTACCTCTGCCCCGTCCGGTTGAGAAGCAGCGAAAGATGACCATCCTCATGTCAAGTCCTTCCTGAACCCAGATCTTATTCATGATGCGAATGATCTGCAACGTCAGCATGTCCTGTCGCAGGTCGTCTCCAGCCTGACAGTGAATACACAACACCAAAACAGGCCAAGATTACATCTGAAAAGTTTTAAGACACAACCATGTATTCATTATACAGCACAGACATGAGAAGGCAGTACCTTAAAGATGACATTAATGTTGTCTCCTAGATGATCCTGGTTCTGGAAGGACAGCTTGAGGGGCACTGCATTAGAGTTGAAGTAGGAGCACGACTACATGGAGAGAAAATAAGAGATATAACTGAATAACTCGTGTCTCAGCAACAACAACTCAATGAGTGTGTTTATAAGCATATTCTTATCCTGATTATGCTGGATAAATTGTCAATGCATGTAGTCATGTAAATATTTTTGTTCATTTTCCTTTATCGGAGAAATTGCTTTAGGCTTAAACTGATCATCACAGATAGATTATGGCCCCTTTTAGCATGTAAATGCAGCAAATGCCTTCTGTCAGCTTATAACAGTGCTATTGTATGATATGTGACAGTAACATGTTCTTACAGCAGATATAAAGCCCACTACACTGTTTATAGAAATAGGCTCATTTTACAATTCCTCTCAATTTTACGATTTGAAATTCCACTCAGTCATTCTGACTTTTAGCTTAGCTTAGCATAAATCAATAAATCAGATTAGACCATTAGCATCCCAAAAAAGTGGATTGTCTTTTAAGCATGTCCAGACACAGCAAATGTTTTGTCAATAAGAGAGGAGGAAATATACAAAAGTCAGATACTTTTGTGACGCAAAGACTTTTAAAAACATGTTTACATCATGCTACATATCTTGAGGAAAATTATAAGATTCCAGTTAATGTAGGAATGTAGAAATACTCTACATCAAATGTAGCAATACTCTACTTTGGTTTTTATTAATTTATTGAATGATGTCGCAGGAGTTTTAAATAATGTTTTTAAATCACTACCGGGAGAAAGACTGATTTAATAATAAAGCCATTTTTTGTATTTTGTATTGTATATACAATGAGAGTTCTGGTTATTTCAATAAATATATATATTAATAAGTTATCAATATATTGGTGACCTTGAAAACATGTGAAATGAGTGGATGAAAAGATGCATCCTCTAATTACTATACCTGTATGTTGATGCCCTTGACGAGCAGGCCTGGGTTCAGCGGAAGTCGACAACTGCTGTTTATCGAGAAGAACTGCTTTACGTCATCAAGCCCTTCGCGGAGAATAGCCTGAACAGCAGACCAAAGACAAAACGCTGTTAATGTGCTGGCCAGACGCTCTGGAGAACACTAAAATGTCCCTGAGGGATCAACAATCAGTTTTTTGGCACAGATCTGGACTTTCAAGCTAAAAATAGTAAGAGCCATAGAGATGTCTAATGAAACGAGAAAAGCCGATGATTCTTAGACAATAGTGAGCATCAGAAAACCTGTAAGGCTCTGTTTACACAATTTTTAAGGTGAATTTAATTATAAAGCTGGAAAAAAACAGTGGATGAAAATTGGACAAACCAACTGAGATGAATTAAAATAAAATAAAAATATTTAAAAATTATGGAATTTAAAAAAAAAAAAAAAACTGAAGAGGCCAAATTTTATTTTAAAGATTAGGTTTGAGGAATCTTATAATATACTAATAAAAAAACTATAGTTTTTTTTTTTTTTTTTAATCAAAAGGGAAAAAAGACAAATAATTATATGACTATATTCTCATAACACATCAAAGCAACACATCTTGTCATTATCTTACATAGGTTTGTGCAGGAAACAAATACCATCAACTCATTTCATTCAATTCTGAATCTGTTCTTTCTTTTTAGAGTCAATAACTCACACTTTAAGCTGCAAATCTTTGCAGATCTTTTACACTCACAAACAGCTAAATTACACACTACAAAGATAAATGTAAAAAAAAACCATAATGGCACAATTTAATAAACACCACAACAATATATAGAAAGCAACAGTGAAGCTGACCTGTCTGGATGAGGGTGACGCTTCTCTGACCCGCTGAGCCACTTTGGCCAGCACATTGACCAGCCAGCACTGACGATCAAACTCTTCCCTTAAACCACGACCGGAGCAGCAGAGCAGAGCCGCCAGCAGATACTGATACCTCACGCTGAACTGAGAGTCCTGGAGAGTGTCTTTCAGCAACCTACAAACACAGAGATGAGGAAAAGGCACTGTTTGAACACCTTTTGATTTAGAATCATTTTTAAAAAGACTGCATTCACAAAGAGAAATCTCTGTCTGATGAAATCTATTTAAGTACTTTGTTTATTCTGATGAAACCTGAATAACATTTTAATGTCGAACATTTCTGGATCACATTTCACAAAATAAAAAAATATATGATCTTATTATGCATTAAGAAAATTGAATATCATTGTGACATTTTTGAATTTTTGACAATGTGAAATAGTCTCAAATATTATTACAATTCAGCGATTTAAAGGATAATTTGTCGAATCCAATCCATTTATTTCTAAAATAGAAAATGTACATGAGATTTTTATATTTTTTATGTCACAGAAACATGAGCAATCTCTGTTTTGATTAGTCTCATTACTTTAGAACTGAAGTTTTAGCAAAAATATTTGAAATTATTTTTTCAAATATAAAATTTAAATTTTTCATAAAAAGTACAATAAATTTCCCCCTTGGTGTACATTTAATATTTATCCATTAATATATTTAATATTACCCATTAATTGTTATTTTTTCTTTTTAAATTACATACCAGTAGCAGTTGTTATTTTCATGGCAAACCCAACAACATTTTCAGTACAAATATGTGTAAAATCTAACACTATTTATAAAGGATTTCAATAATCCAATACAAATGACCTCATCTGTACAGCAGGTGGAGCTGTGAGCTGATTTCATGAAGCATCTATACCAATGCTAAATCTATGCTTGAAGAGTTTTTATATTCACTATGCATGCACATATATAGTACTTATAGATTTATACAATTTGCTACACAAACATTTTGATTTATACACGTAATTGAATAACCTGGATTGAAATATTAACTTGTTTGACCGTATTTCTCAGTTTATGTTCTCTATATAAGTGTTTTTAAGTATAATCTGAATTTAAAAGACGCACCAGAAGAGGTAGTGAGCAATGCGCACATCACCGATGGCTCTTCTCAGCAAAAAACGCACCAGGTGACTGTCCAGATAACATTCATACTTCAGTGCCTGGCAGAAACAAATGAGACAGTGAGGGAACAATAATGTTGGAAAGCAAAAAGACAGACAGGTAGAACATAATCAGATCAGGGTCAATGGGAAAGGAGGCAATGGAGTGAGAGGAAATGAGAAATACAAGGCCTTTGTTACCTGCACCAGCTGAGGAAGAAAGTCCAGAAGTTCTGGGTCAGAGATTGAGTCCATCCACTGAACTGCCGTCCGCCTGCACTCCTGATCTGGAAACCTGGAATAATGTGGATGTTAATAACAAATAAAATCTACTTTTATGGTGCTTTTTTGGAACTTGAAAGTCAGTGCACACTAAACTATATTAATGTATACATCTTTTTAAAATATGTTCAAAATAGGCTTTTACAATAATCATTTTTCAGTACAAGATGGTCGATCAAGGTTAAGGGATAGTCCACCCAAAACAAAACTTCTGCCATCACTTATTCTTGTTTTTCCTAGGATATAATAGCAGAGCACATTTCTCACGTTTCAAGTTTATGATAAATGTTTACAGTTTAGCTTTTCTAAGCACTGTGCTAAACCAGGCTATAAGTGTTCATGCTAGATGCATAACAGCAGTCATAAAACATCTTAGCGGTGTGCAAAATCAAGCAAAAACATACTAGTGTTAAGCTAAAACATAAGCAGTGTAAGCAATTCATGCTAAGAGTCTGGTAAACAATGCTAGAAACATGACAACAACAAACAAATCATGCTAACAGTGTGCTAAATTATAAAAACAAACAACCCAGTATTGTGTTAAACCAGTTCAAACTACAGCACTGCAGCAGTCCATGCTAGCAATGGTTTACCACACATGCTAACAATTACTTTATAACGCTAAAACATGCTAGCAGTGAGGTACATCTAATTAGAAATATGCTAACAATGTTATTAAACATTCTTTCAGTGTGTTAAGATATCCCAGAAACTTGTTAGCAATTTACTAATATGTTAGCATGGTTTGTTCATACTAGAATCATTTTAGTCAATGATGCATTCATTAATGCTTCGGTTTAATTAAATCATTAAAATTAAGGTTTCAATCAGTCACTTAGGACCGGGACTTACTGGTGGATTTAAATGTCATTCAGGTTGATGTAGGCCATGTCATTGAAGGTATCAGTAAAATAAAAATAAAAACACTCAGAAAAATGGTTAAATTATTGTAATCAGAACAACATGAAGGTGAGTAATTGTTGAAAATATTAACTTTGGCAAAACTATCCCTTTAACCTGGTAGACCACCCTGGTTATAGCTAGCCCACACACTTGGTGGCTCTTGGTTGAGCGAATTACATTTCTAACATTAATAAAGCTTTAAAATCAGGTCAGTAAATTCTGAGAGCATCCATCTAATATCTGCTGTCCACATGTGCTCTGCTGGACAAATCTAAAGGTCAGTCCTTCACGGTCGACTCAAACCAGTTCAACTGCCAGATGCTGAAGGACAGTCAAGTTTTAGCAGCTGAACAACAGAGCCAGCAGTCGTCAATGTTATTCAGACACTCACGTGGCATTGAGCAGGCCGAGTGCGTCCAGGTGGTTCATGCATCCCCACTGGCGGAGCAGGGCATAGATGTCAGGCAAACATGCCCACTCCCAGCTGGGCGCACTGGCTAGAACCAGCGGCAGACGACTGGCTTCCACATGGCAGAAATAACGCTTCTCCCACAGCAGACGCCGGTCCTCTGGACTCAACCTAGAAAAAGGACCAGAAAGGTTGATTAGCTGATATTTCTTTAAAAAAATATTTCTATTAACATATCATAAAATATAATTTGAAGATTAAACAGGAAAATAAATTACATTATATAAAAACACAAAGAAATTAGTACTTGATTATTTATACAGATGATGTATTAGCTTTATAATATCATTGCTGAATTACTCTGTAAACAAATAATTACAATATAAAATTGTCTTGTTTACATATACATTTATCTATTTGTTTATGCAATGAATATATTTTATTTTAATCGATTTAAATTTGAAGTTATGAATACACAAACTTTTAATTACATTAAAAAAGAGAACCATCAGAAACATCAGGAAATACCATCAGACATTTCACATGGGAAATCATTGATACTGCTAACACAAAACTGCTGTCCTGGAAGACTTTAATGTCGTTTCCAGACAAGCATCGATGATTTACAACCTCTCATCTACACACCATCAAACCCGAACATTCAATCTGATAAAGATTAAACGCAGCAATCCTCCTCCTATCTTTATAAAATTAAGAGTGTAAAACGTGTCTAGGAAGATCTGTGTGTGGGCTTTCACTGCAGTAAAAGATGGAAAATAACCACACAGACAGTGTAAGTAATTTATGTTGCATGTTTTTGTCCTTCTACACTCCTGAAAGCTCTGGTCCAAGGTAAACATGACTGCGTTTTCACGACCAACATTTCCAACCCAGAAAAAAAAAACAACCAGTAAACATTATGGCAAACACATCAATATTTAAATACCTTTAATGCTAATCGATGCTATTACTTTTCAGAATTTTTGATTGAATTGCAATTAATCTCAAAAAACATTGAAGCTTTGAATATACAGTATATACATTTTTAAATAATTTTACTTTAAATCTTCAAATTAACAATAAATAGAAACAATTTAATGTTATATTTTAAGGCCACTAGTCTCACTGAGCAGTAGTACTGATGTCTGAATAAACTTATTTGCTTTGTGGTTCACCTGAGTGGACACAACAACAATAATTGGAATGGAACATAACAAATTAAGTGGCATACACCAGGGTATACAACATATTTAAGCATTGATTAATCACAATAATTATTGTGAAAAGCGCTATACAAATAAACTTGGATTAAACCTTACGGAACAGTTGAGAGCTAGCAATTTTAAAATGCACAATACTTTAATAACAACGAATTTAAGTGAACTTAGTACAATCTCTCAACATAAACCGAATATTATAAGTCATCTGTATCCTTCAGCAAGTAGGAAGTTATCAAACACTGAATTCTAAATCCTGGTAAACCCTTTGAGCTGCACAAGTTTACTCTTTATTATTATTATTTTTTAATGACATACACGTCAGCGGGAGCCTTTATACAATAATTTGACAGAGGCTAAGTAAAAGTGCACATATGAAAAGCTTCCCATTTAAAGTGTTGGTAGTCAAGACATTCTGCATCTCAAATGCAACTCTTGTAAAGAAAGAAAAAGACACAAAAGCCTCAGCTTTAACTGCATTACATTTTTAGTATGGTTAAACGTTTATCAGGTAAAGGTGACTTTATTCGTATTGATTTATAGGCATTTTTTACATGAACATTATTATTATTATTATTATTTTTTTATTTATTTAAAAAATAGGTCTAAAATTTATAAGCCAAAAAAGTTCAAAGGTCTAAAAATAACCTCCAGTAACACTCCTGGATTTTTTCATCAAGCATTCAAATAAATGCCATAAAAAGGTTAAAACATTTCAAATAACTTTTCTTTAATAATGACAGTACTTTTTTAATACATTTGCACGCTTCCTCGTGTTTAAATCCTTTATGCTACAGTACTTCTCCCATCTGTGGAAACTAGTGTGTAAGCTGTTTGGATTTGTTTGTTTATAAACTGAATAATGCCATGTCTACATCAGGGTTATTTACATTAAATGGCGCACACATAAGGTTAACATCATAATTCATAAAATCCTAATTATGAGACATTTCAACTTAATATAAGACGAAAAGTCTTACACATTCGGGTGATTCAGAAAATATAGAATCATATCAGCAGGGCAGGGTGATTAGTCAAAAAGCAAACAAAAGCGACATTCAAAACTTATAATGAATCAAATTTTTCCAATTATTTTTTCTACTACATGTGGAGTGACTTGACCCCGCTCTGTTTAGGCTGATTTATACTTTTGCATCAAATGCAGGGATATGGTCTGGCACAGCCTTTGTGCGGTCCCATACCAGCACAAACTCTCAAAAATAAAAAAAGTACTATATTGACCTCACGAAATGGACAAGGCTTTTATACTTGATGCGTTCAACATTGTGATATTCTTTAAAATGACACGGGGCGGTTATAAGATAATAAACAGATAAGTAGAAAGTTTCCGGAACTACGTCATATCATTAATATCGTTCAAGAATTCTAAACAAATTATTTTTATAAATTATTTTAATTATTATAAAGATTTTAATAATCATTCAAGTATTTTTTTAATCAAACTTTGTTGCATCTCTTGCTTTTTTTCAGTTCCACCTTTTAAAGTTTATTTAAATATTAATGACAACAGAACCCCAGTTGCTCTACAAATATTTTTTATTATTATTATAGCAAGAGTAAAAGCAAAAATCAAAAAAGTACACATACTAAAAAATACTGACTTTATTTAACCCACTCAGCAATTCACACATTGGTGTTTTTGTTAGTTTGCATACTGATAAGGCTATAAGTGTCCAACATTCCCGACCTTTATCACCAATAAAGTCTAGAAAAATAGAGCATCAGTATATTGTACACTAATAGGTTCAAAAACTATTTTCCAATTATCAAAGAAATAATGAGACTTCATTTTAGTTTTTTTAACTATTAAATTGTTTTAAATTCAAAATTGCAATATATACTGTACATCATTGTTATGATTGGTGGAAAAACATATTCTGTATTTGTTTATTAAAGGGTCACAAAACACCAAAACACTTTTTTGAGCTGTTGACAGTTGTTTATGTGTCCCACGCTGCTATAAATTCTATTACGACACATATATTTCACTAAAAAGTGAAAATTGGTTGTTTTTGCGTAATTTCGAGCAAATTCGCACTTCCGGTATAAAACAAATTTTTGAAGCTGGGTCATGGCCATGAGATCTTAGCGTGTATTGCAGCGCGTAGACTGGACGTCTGTACCTGGGAGTGCCTTATTACATCTCTGAGTGTGCTGCATTTATTCATGAGTAAGACTTGGTTCAAACCATACAGAGCGCTCTATTGTGTATGCGGTGCAACTTTATTAATATGCATGACAGCTTCGAAGACTGTTTTTACCTGTTACAGTGTTCAGACGGCAGAGAGACACCACGTTGAGTTGCCAAGCGGGAAAACAAGAATTGTTTGGAGATATGAGTCGTCAGTATTGGTTTTATAATTTGCTGCAGTGAAGGTTTTGTTTTTATTTTCCCTCTATGAGCGCAGCTGGACTCACATGTGGATTACAGGGCACGTGACGCTCGACAAATAGGTGTCTAAGGAGCATTTTTTACCCGAGAGCTTTTCTCATCTGGAAATAGTGAAATCCGGATTTGCCGCTCATCTCCTTTTAATAAATACATGGATCCAGTGTGTGTTGATTGTCCTGTTTCTACAGTTTTAGTAAGTGATCGATCAGTGGTCTTTGTTTGTTTACTCAGAGGAAAAGATAGTTCATCTCGTCAGCAGTACTCTTTCAGTGTTTAAAGATGAACCTTAGTCAAATGATTTCTAACCATAGTAAATAAAAGTTTACCGTCCATTAATATCACAACAATATTATGAACTGAAAAAAACTGCTGTAAATACTGCTCTCCGAGTGTAAACATGTAAGCACCACAATCAAACTTACCGTCATGTAAGATTCTCACCGCATTTTGTGACAAGAATAACACGCACGGCTTTCTGACGCTACCTGCCGAGTGCATCTAAGTTACTGAGAAATGCGGAGGTTTTTTTCTCTCATTTGCCATGCGGTATCAAACATTTCATAAAAAATACATGCTAACAGCAATTCCTAGAATCAAATATATCATTTGTCATGAGGGGCATGAATGAAGTTCCTGAATGAAAGAGCCAAACTGCAGTTAAAGTCCACCATTTAATAATTTGGCAAATAATTTGATTACTGATCTCCAAGTAAACACAGTCAGTCTTTTTCCTCTGTGTCTGTGTGTTTGTTTTGCCTCTGTTAAAATCAGCGCGTGCCCAAACCGTCACTCCTATTTTTATGCTAATTTTACGAACCTTCCCTCTTTTCTTCCTGCCACACTCCGCCCTAAACAGAGCTAGACACACCCACTTTCCTGACTTTTTCCAAAGTAGAGGTGTGAAAAAAACCCTGCTGAAACAAGGGGGTTTCATGGCCCTTTGAAACCACCCGGGTCTCCACTTTTTCAATATTTGTTTTCAGAAGATTCAAGAAACGCACCGTTTAAAATATTTACAGGAAATCTTATTTAGAAGATATACTGCTTATTTTCTACTTTTGAAAACAATAAAAATTAATAATTTTGTTTCCAAAAGAGCAAGTTTTCACTTTTTTATAAGAAAGACGTGACTGTTGATTTTAGGCAATATATGTTTTAGTGTTTAGTTGCTCAATGTTGATGTTCAATAAATAATCATAGATGACATGCGTTTCCTTGAGTTATTTTTAATCAAGTAATTTGCCCTTCATTCAGAAATCTCTCAGTTGTAATATGTGAGCATATTTACTGTACAAAACCTGTCGGTGAACTATGAGGGCAAATAAATAAAAAAATAAAATAATCGTTCATTAATCGTAATTGAGTTTAAAAGTTTAATTTATTGAGATTTTGATGTTTGGTCAAATCGCCAAGCCCTAATATATAGAAATTTTACATAAACCAATTTTTTTCTGAATAAAAGCACTTCCTCATTACCAATTACAGTCCGACTGGATGTCTAACAGTATATAAAACTTGACATGAGATTCAAACAAGGAGCA